GCCACCGGTGCTGCTGGCTGCTGCCCGGGGCCGCGCGGCCGGGCTGTGGTCCCGGGGCGCACGGGGCCGGAAGCCACCGCGAGATGGGCTCCGCCGGCGGGATGGCGGGAGCGGGATGGCGGGAGCGGGCCGGAGCAGCCGCGGTGGGACTTGCGCTTCGCCCCGAGGGTCTCGCTGGGCGTGGGACTGGAAGCAGAGGGAGCCCGGCCCGGCCCGGCGCTGATCTGCGCGGGCGGTGCGGCCTCGGTCCGTTTGCCGCCGCCCGTCGGCTGGGCCCTGTCCCCGAGCAGAACGGCGGTGAGCGGGACGCGCTCTGGGCTGCCTGCCTGGAGAGCCGCCAGCGACGGCGGAAACGCCTGGTTTCTGTTTGAGGGCCTGGTCGCCCACAGGCGCCGAGCCCGGGGAGCGGCGGGCCCGGCTGCCCTCAGCTGAGGGCCGGGGAGGCATCAGGAGCAGGGCGCTGCCGGCTGCCGGCGCCGGTGGTGCCTTCTGTCCGGAAGGTCTTCATTGCAGGAGACGGTAGTCCATGAAGTACGCAGGTAGAAATGGAAACGCGGGACTGAAACAGGGGGTTCCCTGAAGGGTGCTGAGCCATCACGCCGGCCCCCTGTCTCGGAGGGGGCAGGGACAGTCACGGCAGTGCAGGACACTTGGTGCTTCCACTGACACCTCTCCTCTGTCGCTGTAGCACTGACTCACTAGCAGTTACTACATCTGTCTCCTGACCTCAGTAGGAGTTTCTGTGCTGTGCTTAAACACCATCTTCCCAGATGTGTTGTTGTAGAGCAGCCTGTCTCCAGCAGCAGGCCATGTGCCAGGTCACAGAAACATCCCACAGTCCATAGGGAGGCAGAAATGGCCCACGTGCAAATGAAGTTTCTTTGTCTCTTCAGGCTATAGGCCACTGTTCTTCTTTTTCTAACCTGTGCCAGGAAGTTGGCTTTTTTGTTTCCCATATGTCCAGCCCCTGGGCATTCCTGCACTCGTTAGGTCTCTGTTTTCTAAGTGGGAAGTACACTGCATAAATAAAAAAACATTCAAAACTTAAACACCAGTTTTTCTAGATGTTTCCTTCATAATTGCTGTTATCAGCTTCTCAGAAAGGAAGGCTAGACAGATCATCTGTACTTTCCTTTTTTTCGTTGCAGATCCTTAACTGTGACCTAAACTCTTCTCTACTAATCTTCACTTTTATTCGAAATTTTTTAGTTCTAAAAAAACCCACAAAAACATGTGTCATGTTTGTCAGTCATGTGGGTTCTTCTAATGGTAGATTAGGCCAGCTAATTGCAGCAGACTATGCCTGCCTGTTTGTTCATTTTTATTGTTATAACTTCACAGGCCTAATTTTTTCTAGCTGCTCCTCAGTGAGGTTTCTCCACATTTCTTATGTAGGGTGTTTCCCAAACACTGCTGTTTGCACTACTGGATGCCTGTAAACTGTATCAAAGTAATACACAGACATTCAGCTGACATTTTTTCCAAAGAAGACAAGATGTGATTGTGAAGTCATCAATCAAGCAGTTGTGAATTTCTCTCCTGCTGGTTGCCTAACCTTTCCATGAGAGGAGACTGTGGTCACAGTTTAAGAATTCATCTGGTTGATGTCAGTGCCCACTATTAAATTTCTTACCTGGTGGTTAGGGTGTCTCTCACTGACTGTGGTCATGGGAAGAGTGAACTACTGCTTGGTCCTGTGCATAAATTAGAAAGCAAAAGCATAAAAGACAGACTGAAGTGAATTTCTTTCCAGTGCATTTTTTTTAGTGGTGAATTTCATTTGCCTTGAAGCTGCCTGTTCCCTAGTTTTGATATAGCACCTGAAGTTTCTCAGCATCTCCTGACAAGTCATCACATTTTTATGACTTCTTCAAATTCTGTCATATCCCTGTTTTCCCCAGTTCATTAGCCAGTTCCTGTACATGGCAAAATACTATCTCTGTTTCTAGGTTACAGTTTTGGTATCTCGTATACTTCTACTGGGCAATGATTTTTGTTTTCTAGTCTGTATAACCAAGATTTTTGTAATGGGTTTCCCAATGAAGAACAACATCGAGTCATTATTAGTATTTGGAAGAAGGTGATAAATGATTGTCCACATGCCAGGAGCAACATACAGCAAATGACTTGTTTATATTGCCTTGGCGTGGTGGTTTAACCCCAGCCAGCAACTAAGCACCACATGGCCGCTCACTCACTCCCTGCCCCCCACCCAGTGGGATGGGGGAGAAAATTGGGAAAAGAAGTAAAACTCGTGGGTTGAGATAAGAACGGTTTAATAGAATATAAAAAGAAGAAACTAATAATGATAATGATAACACTAATAAAGTGACAGCAGTAATAATAAAAGGATTGGAATACTCAAATGATGCACAGTACAATTGCGCACCACCCGCTGATCGACGCCCAGTTAGTCCCTGAGTGGTGATCCCCCCACTCCCCAAAGACAGGACACTTGGGAATGTCAATGGTATCTGTTAAATTATGTGTCTTAATAGGAGCATAAGAAGCAATAAGTGACAAAAAAATCTTTGTTAAATAAGAAGAAGGATTCTGTGATGTGGATAAAGTGAACATCTGGGCAGATGATGGAGTATGACAAAATAATTGAGAGAAAAAAATGAAAAGAGGACATAAAAGAGACTAAAGACAATGTTCCTGGCATGGTAAATGCAAAAATTATTTCATTAAGGAAAAAATAAGTACTCTATAAAAACTAGTAAGTTAGGATCTAAAATATTTGTCACTGTGTGATAAAGTCCAGGCAGAAAGCAGGTACCACTGAATGAATTGGAGACAAAGAACACTCCATCATGCCCCAGTGCAAGGGGAATGATTGGCTTTCATACGGGGAGTGTAGAGGGGCTCATCCCTATTTTGATTCCAGTTGTAATTCAGCTGGAGTTGAAAACGTTAAACACTTCCTTGTTGCAGAAAACAATGGTTTCCTTTTCAAAGGATGGTATGCACATCCTCAAAGTGCAGGTGACTGTGTTTAACTGAAAAGTGAAACATGCAAAAATAAGAAAAATTATGCTGCTAATATGAATTGTTCTGCTTTATTAGGACACCAAGCCTGGACATCACAGACAACAGAAGGTCAAGAGGTCTCTGGGAAACAAAAAGTATGTGAATGTTTCTTGCCTAATTTGACTGAGGGAAAGAAAAAAGCTGAAGGATTCCTATTGGAAAACTGTATCTGGTCTTTACATATTCTGAATTTTAAAAGCTGCAACGATTTTGGTTTATGTGATGAGAGTCTCGACTGACTTTGCTTATTGGTTTGCAGGAAAAGTGCTTTTTTTTTTTTTGACACTTCAAGGGGTCTTAGCTTTCATTTATTGTTTTTAAAAGTTTTTTAATACTGGGAACGTAAATATTTTCTGTTCAAGACCAAATGGTGTTCCAAAATCTGTGTATTTTGAGTGTGATTGCAACTGAAAGGCTTTAATTTGAGAATTCCTATCCCCATTCTTCTGCAGTACCTCCTTAAACATAGTATATACTGATCTGACCTGGTACCATCAGTGTCTCCCACTTATTAATTTCTGTATTGATGTGTTACCACATGTGAACTCCACATCTCAGGGTGTGGGAGAGTATTGCTGGGACGGTCATCACAGTCATCATTCAAGTGATCTACTTCTTTGAGTTTGTGAATTGTGGTAGCAATTGGATGTGTTGAAAAGTGTTTCTGTTTTCTGTTCTTTCCTCTTATATTAATGGTATTTGCCCAGAGAATAGATACTTTTATGTTTCTTTGACACCTAATCATTTTGCTGTCATGACAGTAGTGTAAATATCCAGGCATTTCAGAGCTGTGAGAAATATTTGAGAATAGTGAAGCAACGTTCCCTCTGATCTCTAGGAAGAAAAATCAGTGCTGCTGGCTAGTCTAAATTAGTCTTAATGTAGTGTGATTTGTAGGATATACTATAAGGCTGTCTTCATTGCTGAAAGCTTTGCTGGTTAAAATTCTTACTAGCGTTAAGTCTTTTAATCGTGTAGTGTCAGCTCTGACTCTGGGAATACATACTGAAGGAGATCTTGCCCTTTGTGGGATGGAAAAGGTCTCTTTTGTAATGATGGGCTGCAGAAGAATTCTTATATTCCACATTGGTTGCTTAAGGACAAATGTGTATTTTTAAATTGAGATTAACTTGGGCCTGCTTGTTAAGATGAAGGTTTGAGGTAGGATGAATATTTTTTTCTGTTCCTGATGAGTAGCTCTCTAATGTCATTCTCTAAAAGATGTGCTGAAAAATAATGTTTAGGATGTTTTATCTTGCTGGCACTTTTCAATTCACAAAACTCAGGAGATTCAATGAACTGTGAGATGATTTTTTAGAGTATTTGGGAAGAGGAAAGGGATGTTGTCTGTCAAGTTATTGTGGTTGTGTATGTATGTATGCATACATATACATAGGATTTCAAGTTGTTTTCCAGGTCTAAGCAATTTGAGGAGGTGGAAACTACTGTCCTAGGACTGAGCAGTAACTATGATGAGACAGTCAGCAACATTTCTTCTGCCTCACCGAAGGGTCGAGTGAATGGAAGTGCAGAGTCCAGAAGCAAGCGGACCATTCGCAGGCCTGCTTACTGGTTGGAAATGAGAGGAATAAAAAACAGCATTAACAAATCTTCAGAAAAAAAAGGTACTCATCACTCTTGGCTCGACGCAAAACTGTTTTTCTCTCTGGTTCTTTTATGAGAGATTAGATGACTTCTGAAAGACATGCTGCAGTTCAGCCACAAATTACAAGGCTGGTAATGCTGCTCGTGTATTAGGAGAAATAAAATTCCTCCACTACAGAAACATAGGTCAAATTCTCTGATGTTACGCAGTTCCTTTTGAGTGACTTGTCTATTAAAATTAATGATTCTGTGACTGAACTCAGTTTTATCTGTAGAAGAGAGATGTATAAGGGTTCTGCCAATCAACAAACAACACTAAAGATGTAGAAAAGGGGACCATTCAGCAGTACTCTGGTTTAGACACGGCTTTTGTGGTTGGTAGATTATTATGTTTTTTAAGGATGTTTTTATTTCTTTTATTTCTCACTTCTGTCACTTTGATTTTCTGATTTGGCGTGGTTTGGGTCTTAGGTTGTTGTTTTAGGAGCATTCGGATTTTCTGGCCTAGGAGCTGTTTTCCAAACTTCTCATGTGGCAGAGAGCCAAAACTTTGCTCTCCTTTAATGCACTTTCTTCTTATCTCTAAGTCAGAATCTGTATTCCATTCTGTTATGGGGAAAGCGGAATATGGTAGCTTGATAGAAGTGAGGTTGCTGCGGCTCCACACCCCCAGGTCCAACCAGTAGCGAGACTAAGTGTGTATTCCTGTAGGTATAAACACATGTATACAACATGTATACGCAGCCAGCCACACAGATCAACACGAAGAGGCGTGCTCAGCACTCACACAAATGGCACGAATGGTCTCCATCCTGTTTCCCTCTCTGGCTGATCAGGATGAAGTTGTGTTATTGAGAGAAAAGAAGCATATGTAAAAAATATATATAAAAGAAGTACATGCATATGTATGTGTACATTTGTGTGTGCACACATGTGTGCAGTGTGGATCTCTCCTGTAGCTGGACTTAAACACTCAGTCTGCTCAGTATCTGGCTTTTGGATCCCAGTATCCTCAGTTGCTGGTACATGGATGCACTAGCCCCTGAGGCCCGCAGAGCCATGCCAGTTGCTGGTGTAGACCTCCTTACAGACAGGCTCACACTCACAGGCAGTACTCTCCCCTGGTGCCTCTGATTTGGTGTCAGGCATGACCAGACTTGTATACTGACCAACCACCTGTTTACAAGCAAGTGACCCTTTTTATCCTCTTAACACCTCTATTTTCCCACACTTGATACTCTCCAAATCAGTTAATTCTCTCCCTTTCCCTTCCTTTGATACCACTCCTAAACAACCCAGTCTTGTGTAGTCCTGAATTGTTCTTCACTAGCATCCCATGTGTCACATAATGTCACACTCGCCCTTCTCATCACACCCCTCCTTCCCCCTTCCAAAGGGTGCTCCAGAGAGCAGCTTCCATTGACCCATCCTGGTGAGTCTCCTGGGACAGACCTGGGAGTAAGTGTCTGTTTCTTTGAGTCCATAATTTGTGTTCCCCTACCTGCCATTGTGCTTCTGTACTTCTCTCTGTTAATGAAGATAAGCCTTTGATAGGCCTGGAAATAGTGAAGGAAGGCAGGATTTTGTTTGGGTTTCCCCACCAGCTGTTGTTTCTCTATGCTTCTTTTTGTGTGTGAGCAGATGAGCTTTTTATGACATAACCTAGCACCTTCTGGCTATCTTCCTGAGGAGTATTGTTTTCCCAGACCGCACTGTGGCACTGTTTCTTCCGTATCTTCTGTGTCAGAGGATTGCAGGCTGTGGAGTGCCTAAATGTTACTGAGTCAAAAGGCTGTGTCTAGCTCACTGGTGTCCAGGTGCCTGACAAAAACTACTTTTTTTTTTTTAAGTATTGAATATGAGGATAAGCTGAGGCAGCAGCAGACTCAAAGCTGTTATCCAGACTGAATAATGAGACTGAAGCATTTCTGTTCTTACTCATTAGCAGGGGAAGTACTATTGAAAGGCAAGAGGAAATCTGAGCAAGGGGAAGGCGAAAATCTTAAAGACTCTCCCAAGAAGAAGCAGAAGATTGCGGGTAATACAAATAATTTGTAATTCCTAGTTACAAGCTTCCAGGTACTTCAGACTTCCCCTCTGCCCAAATGCTATCCTCTGCTGTCTTCCAACTCTATCTCTGATTCTGGATATTTTGTTATACGAGACTGTTGACTAGTTTCTATTTTGCAGTGGGAGGTGATCTAATTTCAGTCTGTCTTCAAAGTCCAACAAAGGAAGGGAGGAAAGGAAGTAGGGCAAGTATAGGCTAGTCTGCTTCATTTCAGTTTCCCAAAAGATTCTGGACTAAATAATCAACCAAATTACTTGTGAATGTCTGGCGATTAATGAGTAGATGATAACAGCAATATGGGTTTGTTAAGGAGAAATCAAACCCAACCACCTTTATTTTACCACAGAGATAGAGCGGGGAAATGCTTGACATCATAGGTCTTTCATGCCTTCAAAGGGTTGTTCATCAGTGGTTAGGTGCAAAAGGAAGTGTACAAGTGGTGAAAGTAGGACCAGGTGATGCAGGAGAAGTATACATTTGCTCTCCAGTCTTGCAAGGGTGAGGTGAGGAAAGCTAAGGGCAACCTGGAGTTGAATCTGGGAAGGGGTGTGAAAGACAACAGGAAAGGATTCTACAAGTACATGTACAGCAAAGGGAAGACTAGGGAAAGCGTGAGTGCACTGCTGAACAGGGCAGGGGAACTGGTGACAAATAGCATGGAAAAGGCTGAGGTACTCAATGCTTTCTGTGCCTCAGATCTTTATCAGTTAAAGGAATCCTTCAGGAATTCCAGGTGCCTGAGACCAGAGGGAAGGTCTGGAGCAAGGAAGCCTTACACTCAGTGAAGGAGGACGAGGTTAGAGCACTTAAACAAACTGGACATACCTAATTATTTATCAGCAGTCCTAGCTAACCGGGGAGGTCCCAGTTAACTGGAGGTTAGCAAATGTGACACCCATCTACAAGAAGGGCCGGAAGGAGGATCCAGGGAGCTACAGGCCTGTCAGTCTGACCTCAGTGCCAGGGAAGGTTATGGAGCAGATCATCTTGAGTGCCATCACACGTTACATACAGGACAACCATGTGATCAGGCCCAGTCAGCATGGGTTTATGAAAGGCAGGTCCTGCTTGACTAACCTGATCTCCTTCTATGACAAGGTGACCCACTCAGAGGATGAGGGAAAGGCTGTGGATGTTGTCTCCCTAGACTTTAGTAAAGCCTTTGACACCGTTTCCCACAGCATTCTCCTGGAGAAACTGGCTGCTCGTGGCTTGGATGGGTGTACTCTTTGCTGGGTAAAAAACTGGCTGGATGGCCAGGCCTAAAGACTTTTGGTGAATGGAGTTAAATCCAATTGACAGCCAGTCACAAGTGGTGTTCCCCAGGGCTCAGTATTGGGGCCAGTTCTGTTTAATATCTTTATCAATGATCTGGATGAGGGGATCGAGTGCACCCTCAGTAAGTTTGCAGAAGACACCAAGTTGGGTGGGTGAGAGTAGGAAGGCTCTACAGAGGGATCTGGACAAGCTGGATCGATGGGTTGTATAAGATTCAACAAAGCTAAGTGCCCGGTCCTTCACTTGGGTCACAACAACCCCACGCAATGCTACAGGCTTGGGGAAGAGTGGCTGGAAAGCTGCCCGGAGGAGAAGGACCTGGGGGTTTTGGTAAACAGTTGGTTGAATATGAGCTAGCAGTGTGCCCAGGTGGCCAAGAAGGCCAATAGCATCCTGGCTTGTACAGAAATAGTGTGGCCAGCAGAACTAGGGAAGCGATTGTCCCCCTGTACTCAGCACTGGTGAGGCCGCACCTGAAGTACCATGTTCAGTTGTGGGCCCTTCACTACAAGAAAGACACTGAGGTGCTGGAGTGGGTCCAAAGAAGGGCAACGAAGCTGGTGAAAGGTCTAGAGCACAAGTCTTATAAGGAGCGGCTGAGGGAACTGGGGTTGTTTAGCCTGGAGAAAAGGAGGCTGAGGGGAGACCTTATCGCTCTCTACAACTACCTGAAAGGAGGTTGTAGCGAGGTGGGTGTCAGTCTCTTCTTTCAAGTAACAAGTGATAGGACAAGAGGAAACAGCCTCAAGTTGCAGCAGGGGAGGTTTAGATTGGGTATTAGGAAAATTTCTTCACGGAAAGGGTTGTCAAGCATTGGAACAGGCTGCTCAGGGAAGTAGTTGAGTCACCATCCCTGGAGGTATTTAAAAGAGGTGTAGATGTGGCGCTTAGGGACATGGTTTAGTGGTATACTTGGCAGTGTTAGGTTTACGGTTGGACTCAATGATCTTAAAAGGTCTTTTCCAACCTAAACGATTCTATGACTCTAAGTCCCGTGGGGCCTGACGGGTTGCACTGAGTGCTGAGAGAGCTCGCTGATGTCATTGTGAGGCCACTCTTGATTATCTTTGAAAGGTCATGGTGACTGGGAGAGGTTCCTGAAGACTGGAAGAGAGCAAATATCACTCCTATCTTCAAGGACAGAAGGAAGGAAGATCTGGGGAACTACAGGCTGGTCAGCCTCACCTCAGTTCCTGGGAAGGTGGTGGAGAGAATCCTCCTGGAAAGCATTTCCAAACACATGAAGGACAAGATGGTGATTGGGAGTAGTCAACATGGATTCATGAAAGACAAATCATGCTTAATCAACCTGATAGCCTTCTACAATGAGGTCACTAGTTTGGTGGACAAGGGGAGAGCGGTGGATGTTTTTCACCTCAACTTTAGTAAGGTTTTTGGTGCTGTTTCGCACAACATCCTCATAGACAAGCTGACAAAGTACATGTTAGATAAATGAACAGTGCAGTGGATTGAAAACCAGCTGAACGTCCAGACCCAGAGGGTTGTGTCAGCAGCACAAAGTCTAGTTGGAGGCACATCACTAGTGTTGTACCCCAGGGGTAAATACTGGGGCCAGCACTGTTTAACATTTTCATTAATGACCTGGACAATGGGAGAGTGTGCACACTCAGCAAGTACACAGATGATACAAAACTAGGAGTGGTGGTACACTAGATGAGTGTGCTGCTGTCCACAGGGACCTGGACAGGCTGGAGAATTAAGCAAAGAGGAATCTCTTGAGGCTCATCAAGGAGAAATGCGAAGTCCTGCAGCTGGGCAGGAATAACCCCATGTACCAGCATTTGCTGGGGGCTAACTTTCTGGAAACCAGCTCTGCAGACAGGGACCTTGGGGTCCTGGAGGACAGCAAGCTGACCATGAGCCAATAACACGGTCTTGTGGCAAAGGCAGCCAAAGCATTCTGGGCTACATTAGGAAGAGCATTGCCCAGCAGGTCGAGGGAGGTGATCCTTCCTTTCTGCTCAGCACTGGTGAGGCCATATCTGGAGCACCATGTCCAGTTCTGGGCTCCCCAATACAAGAGAGACATGGACATACTGGAGAGAGTCTAGTGCAGGGCTGCAAAGATGACTGAGGGACTGGAATATCTTTCTTGTGAGGACAGGCTGAGAGAGCTGCGACTCTTCAGTCTGGAGAAGAGAAGGCTCAAGGGGGAATCTTACCAGTGTGTATGAATACTTGATGGAAGGGAATGAAGAAAAGGGAGCCAGACTCTTCTCTATAGTGCTTACTGACAGGACAAGAGGCAGTGGGCAGAAATTAAAATACACAATATTCTATTTAAAGACAAGAATACATTTTTTTACTGTGAGGGTCGTCAAACCCTGGCACAGGTTGCCCAAAGAGGTTGTGGAGTCTCCATCAGTGGAGATACTCAAAACTTGACTGGACACATTCTTCGGCAACCTACTCTAGCTGACCCTGCTTGAACATGGGTTGGACTAGGTGATCTCAGGAGGTCCTTTCCAACCTTAATGTTTCTGTCATTTCTGTGAAATAGGAAAAAAGTATAGAATAACAGTTCACAATGTGTTCTAGGTTCAATTCTAACTATTGGTTTTGTCACCAAGGACTTGGAAGTATGTAGACGGCACAAAGCTGAAAGAGATGGCAAGTGTGTTGGAGAAAAGGCTAAAACTGAAAGTGGTCTTGACGTTAGAGAAACAGTTTAAAAAAATAGAATGGAATATAGTGTGTAAAATTAAAGATACTATAGTTAGGAAGAAATACTAGCACAGCTGAAAGACAAAGAACAACCTCCTAGGTGTCAGTTCTTCCGAAGAGGATTTGAGATTTATAAGAGATCAAAAGCTCAATAGGGAACAACAGTGTCATACTTGTTTTTAAAAAGGCAGATGTTATACTGAGGTGTTTGAGCAGGAATGTAGACTTTCAGACACATGAAGTAATTCTGCTCTAATGCAGGGTCACACTTGGAGTACTGTTTGCAGCCGTGTGTACTGCAGTTCAGTAAATGTGTGGACCAACTGAAGAGAACAGGCAGAAGAGAGAAAAAAGCATAACCCATGAGAAAATACTGAAACAATAAGAGTTGTTTAGTCTAAAGAAAACAGGAATGAGTAGAGGAATGGGACTGTCCATTTGGTTGTCAAGAAGTCTACTAATTAGATTGGCTCAGCCATACTGTGTGAAGAGTTCCCATCCCCTGAGCTTTGTTATGAACAACCATACAGATTATAAATATCTGGATGGGACTAATGCCTGCAGCTGTAAATAGCTATGGATATTGAAAGGTAGTAGGGAACATAATCTTGAAATTCCTTTAAATAAAAAAAAAAAGCATTGAACATTTCTGAATGAGTAGCTTTGAGACAGCAGACTAAATAGCAGCCTCCTAGCAAAAAAATCTCTGCTTTTTTGTAACAAGGCTCGCAGAATTAAGTCTTCTGGTCTCTCTTGTTTGTGTTATAACAGGGAAAAAACAGCAAGCTGGAACACAACAAAACTCCAAAGTGAAAAGCCACTGTGTTCAGAAAGAACCGGAAGCCTATGGCACAGGTAAGGAGAAGCACCACTTGCTCAGAATTGTTTATGAAGCAGCTAAAAGATAAATGTGATTCTAGGATTTGCATCTGAGCAACAGCTATGTTTCTGGTGTTTTCATTTTGTTGTTCACTGTACTGTTCACAAGGAAGAACTGCTTGCTGTACTTTTGGCACTGTAAGTACTGCAGAACAAGATTGGAGGGACTGCATACTGCCTATTGGTGTAGTTCCATGTGGCTTTACCACTGCATAATAAAACAGTGAAGGGGGAATCACTTTTTGAACTGAGCAAAAGCCTGTTAAAATAGTTTCACTATAAAACTCATAAAAATATTTATACTTTTTACTCAGCAGAATATGTTTGCAGGAAAAATTCTGTAGCTGTTGCTGCCAAATCACCTCTTCTGGTAACCTGGTAGCCAGAGACCCAAGCAGTCCATAGTAGAAAAATAACATTAGCCTTGACTCAGCAAGTGGAATGACTTGATATGCATAGCTCACAACACTCATTAAATACCCTAGTTTTCTGCCAAGTGCTGTTTGATTCACAGACTTTTCGCCCACCCACCTGGGGAGGGACAATCTCTGCCTGTTATTGCTGGGCAAAGAGGAAAGCCTTTAGATCTTTTTACGATAAGAATTCAAGCAGATGGCTGCTAAGCCACTTTTTTCCTAGAACCCATTTCAGTAATTTATAATCCTTGTGGATTATGCCAAGCTTTTGCTTGGCATTTCAAAAAGAGGCCAAGAACTGGAAACTGTGCTACACAGGGTACTTTCCCCTGGCTGTTGAGTAAGTTGGCCTGGTGGTGCAGCTCTGTTCACTTTCAGTACCAGAACTGCTGGCTGACATAAGTGGAGTTCTAAAGATTTGGTTAGTAGAACTGAACCATTGACTTTGTCTGAAACTATTCAGTCACATCTGTCACTACTGTGAAAACCATTTTGCCAAAAGAAAAGTTTACTGTGCATGCTAAAGTAATTGTGTAATAAAAATGAATGAAGGAAAAAACTCTACTGAACAAGTGGAAGAACATTCCTTGCAAGGGGATGGTAGGATTAAAGAGTTTTTATAAAATGATCTCCCAAAAGGAGTGATGTGTGCCTTGTCACATGACACATTTAAAGCTGCAAATGAGCTAAACCTTTTAAAGTGTAGCTGGACACAAGTTTGGTAGAATGTGACTTGTTTCCTTCTAAGATTCATTGTGCACATCAAAGGAAAAAAAAAAGATACTGTGTTTGCAGTTCTATTCCAAACCTTTTGTTTTGACAGGTAGTATGGAAGAGCGATGGTCTTTGGAAATTCAGGACAAAGGCCGAGTTACCTGTCCAACATGCCGGGCTGTGGTGAGAAAGACTGTAGAAGGACTGAAGAAACATATGGTAAATTGCAGGCAGGTAAGAACACAAGAGATGAGCAATGTTTTCTTTACTCCTCTTCAGCTTACTGGTAGAAAGGCCTGCACACTGTTTTGTGTTGCACTTAAAACCAGTTTCATATCATTATCATGTCTCTAAGCAACAGTCCTTTATACATCTGTAAGAGGCTGTGCTTGGTGCTTCTTGCTTAGCCTTTTGCTGGAGGTTTGGGGTAGTGAACAAAGGTGTAGCTATTTCATTGTTCCCCTAAATTTTAGTCTCCATAAAATCTCTTCTGTTCTTAATGGGCAGTTACCAGGCCCAAATAAAACGTTCTGCTCTCCTGCTCCTTTCCCCCAAAGAGTTTCCCACTGCTTTGGTTAATTTACAGTTACATGCACCATGTCCTTGTTTATTTCTAGGAAATGTTCACATGTCATCACTGTGGGAAGCAGCTGAAGTCTTTAGGAGGGATGAAATACCATGTCATGGCAGACCATAACAATCAGGTAACACAGCTGCTGTGCATCTAAAAATCCTACAAGCAAGACAGTCTTTTGTTCCTTCCCTGGTGCACAGAAACATGTTTTTTCAAATGTTATACCTGTTCAAATCTTCTCTACCTATTATTTTTCCTGTGAGATTTGGCATCTGAAGAAACAGTAAAATATTACCAGAGATGGTAGGCATGCTACATCTTAGAAAGAGGAAATGAATTTCTGTTTAGGCTGGTTATATGTCACACATAAAAGGCATTCTCAGAAAAAAAAAAACAATTGCTCATTAGGCTGCAATTTTCAGTCCTTTGCTAGAAAGTAGGAGTTTTTCTACATCCAGAGCAGACTAGATTTCAGTTCTTTGCAAGTTCAAAGGTAAAAAAGTAGAAGCAGCAGTTTAGTTCTTGTGTCTATTTACTGTTAAGATCCTAATGCTACAATCTGCTTTTCCTCTTTGCTATTACTTTAAAGAAGGCAATGTCTCTTGTTGTAGTTGTGAAGAATTAGAACTTTTGAAAAGGTCATTTGGAAGTTTGAGTAAGGTTTAGATAATTAGTTACTGTTATTTTTTACAGAGTTCCCAGTTCTGTGGTTTCTGAACCTACAGCTGTTCTAGTAAATGAAATAGGCCAGGGATCATATTCTGGCCCTGAGGAATAGGTCTGTCACTCAGTTCTAACTTTTTATTCAGTCTAGGTGTAATTATAAGGTAGTGTAGGAAATAATATATAAAATAATCATCAGAGAGAGAATAGAGAAGAACTTGAGCTGTAGTTTAGCATAAATTAATAACTGCTATGGGCAGTTAGTCTGCTTAGCTTTTGTTAGGCTAAATGGAAATGGTGGGACCACTAGATGTTAAAGATGCATGACAGAGAGAGATGAGTAAGTACTTTCCACAGGCAGAAGGGGAGAAAAGTAATTATAGAAACACACACCCTTATCCTTCCCAGCAGCTATAGTTTGGGACCATTTCTGATCAAGGTTTTGTTCATAGATAGCTATCTAAATGTTAAAACTCTTATCTGCAAAGTGGTTTTCAGGCAGTTTACTCCTTTTAAAGATAATTTGGTTGTTCTGGGATATAGACAGTGATCTTTGTATTAGATAGACTTCTGTAAAATCGTGAGTGGCAGAGATTGAATTATTTTGGAAGCTTTCCTTTAGTAGCGTGTTGAGTAATGAATTCCCTATGAGAAGACCTGTAAATGCTGAGCATCCTGTGTTTTTCTTTCATCTCTCTGCTGTGCTTTAGCCAGTTGTGAAGGAGGGAGGAGAATTGGATGAGCAGCTTGAGCGAGACCGCCTTCGGAAGGTTTTGAAGCGTATGGGAAAACTAAAGTGTACGAGGGAGGTAAGCTTCATTGTGCTATGTATCCTGAATTATAGAGCAGCAGATGCATGAACGTAAAATATGAGAGTTCTGCTGGGTATGCTTTGGTGCTGGCAAAGCTGGATTTATTTCAAGATCCTAGCTATGCTTTTAAGACAGAGTATCATTGAATCATAGAATGGTTTGAGTTAGAAGGGACCTTTAAAGGTCATCTAGTCCAATCCCCCCTGCAATGAGCAGGGACATCTTCAACTAGATCAGGTTGCTCAGAGCCCGGTCCAACCTGACCTTGAAGGTTTCCAGGGATGAGGCATCCACAACCTCTCTGGGAAACCTGTTCCAGTGTTTCACCCTGATCTAAAAAAATGTCTTCCTTCCATCTAGTCTGAATCTACCCTCTTCTTAGTTTAAATGCATTACCCCTTGTCCTATTGCTACAGGCCCTATGAAAAAGTCTGTCCCCATCTTTCTTGTAAGCCCCCTTTAAGTATTGAAAGGGTTCTGTAAGGTCTCCCTGGAGCCTTCTCTTCTCCAGGCTGAACAACCCCAACTTTCTCAGCTTTTCCTCATGGGAGAGGTGTTCCATCCCCCTGATTATTTTCATGGCCCTCCTCTGGACCTGCTCCAACAGGTCTGTGTCTTTCCTGTACTGAGGATTCCAGAGCTGGATGCAGGACTCCAGGTGGGGTCTCACCAGAGGGGCAGAATCCCCTCCCTGAACCTGGTGGCCATGCTGCTTTGGATGCAGACCAGGATATGGTTGGCTTTCTGGGCTGCACGTGCACATTGCCAGCTCATGTCCAGCTTTTCACCCACCAGCACCTGCAAATCCTTCTCTGCAGGGCTGCTCTCAATCCCTTCATCCCCCAGCCTGTGTTGATACTGGGGGATGCCCCGACCCAGGTGCAGGACCTTGCATTTGGCCTTGCTGAACCTCATGAAGTTCACACGGGCCCACTTCTTGAGCTTGTCCAGGTCCCTCTGAATGGCATCCCATCCCTCAGGCATGTCAGCTGCACCACTCGCCTTGGTGTCATCTGCAAATTTGCTGAGGGTGTACTCTGTTAAGGGAGAAGCTGCTGCCCGAGCATTCACACACCTATCAAGGAGTCGCGCACACACCATCTGAGACTTTTAACTGTTAGGACCGGAGTCCCTTCGCAGCGGGTGACTCTGGTGAGCCAGTGGGTACCCCTTTTGACTCCTCACACACACACACTCACCTTCGGGTGCTTCTTCTTCCCTCGCGCTCAACACTAGGTTCCCCAAAGCAGAATCTCTAATCAAGGCCTTCAAAATAAAAGTGTAATTTATTCTATCTATGGTGTACAAATTCCGATAGCTCCATCTGGGTGCCTCCGGAGAGGGACCCCTAATACTCACATCCCTTAGCAATTATACCCTTACTATATAAGTTCCCGCCCCTCACACCAGAGTCTGGTCCAATAGTAATATTTGGGTCTGGGGTCTTCTTCTCTCTCATTGGGTCCTTTTTCTCGTCTCTAGGTGGGTTCTTTCTCTTTCCCGTTTTTCAGGCTAGCTGTTACTATGTCTCCTTTTCCCAGCTCAAAATGGATTTGGGGCTTTCTGAATCTTATTCCTCCAGTCAGAGAACAGGTCAATGTTAAGTAAAAATATTAAGCAAGCTGTGAGTTCTGTTTTATCATGAATGACTACTTTTAAGCAGCTAAACAAAGTCTTTAAAGCCCTTCAAAACATATTAACAGCTTCTATAATTTATATACATTCCTGTGCTATTATAGCCTCACAATCTTATCCCATTATTGCCACATGCTGTTTACGTCTCCGTTCAGGTGTGGTCCGCATGCTCATGTACCTCAGCTTTGCCACCTTCCACAACAACTTGATCCCACTGTCTGTGTCGTTGATGAGGATATTAAACAGTAGTGGTTCCAATACGGACCCCTGAGGGACACCATTTTTCACTGAACTCCATCCAGACGTTGAGCTGTTGACCACTACTCTTTGGATGTGACCAACCAGCCAATTTCTTCTCCACCAAATAGTCCATCCATCAAATCCATATCTCTCCAATTTAGAGAGAAGGATGTTGTGGGGGACCATGTGAAAGGCCTTACAGAGGTCCAGATAGATGACATCCGTAGCACCTCCCTTGTCCACTGATATAGTCACTCCGTCATAGAAGGCCATGAGGTTGGTCAGGCAGTCCTGCCCTTGGTGAAGATACGCTGGCTGTCTCAAATCACCTCTCTGTCCTCCATGTGCCTTAGCATAGCTTCTAGAAGGATCTGTTCCATGATCCTCCCAGGCGCAGAAGTGAGGCTGACAGGTCGGTACCTCCCAGGGTCCTCCTTTGTACCCTTTTTAAAAATGGGTGCAATGTTTCCCTTTTTCCAGCCACTGGGGACTTCACGTGACTGCCAGGATTTTTCAGATGTGGAGAGTGGTTTGGCAACTACGTCAGCCAGTTCCCTCAGGATTCTTGGGATGCATCTCGACAGGTCCCATAGACTTAGGTATGTTCAGGTTCCTCAGGTGGTCACAAACCTGATCTTCTCTTGCAGTGGGAGGGACTTTTCTCCCCCCAGTCCTTGCCTTGAGGTCCATCCACTCAAGAGGTGTGGGAAGAGAGGTTGCCAGTGAAGACTGAGGCAAAATAGTTGTTGAGTACCTCAGCCTTCTCCTTGTCTGTTGTTACCAGTTTGCCAGTCATGTCATCAGTGGGGGTATGCTTTCTTTGACCCTCGTTTTCTGGATGACTTATCTATAGAAGCCCTTCTTATTATTCTTTGTGTCCCTTGCCAAGTTCAGCTCCAGCCACACCTTGGCCTTCCTGACCCCATTCCCACACAACCAGAGAGCGTCCCTATACTCTTCCCAGGATACCTGTCCCTGCTTCCACTGCCTGTGCATTTCCTTCTTGCCCTTTAGTTTAACCAGCAAGTCTTGACTTACCCATGCTGGTCTCCTGCCTTCCTTTTGTGATTTCTTACACCTGGGGATCAAGAGCTTTTGTGCTCTGTAGAAAACATCCTTAAAGACCTGCCAGCTCTGTTCTGCTCCCTTGTCCCCGAGGGCAGTTTCCCAGGGGGTCCTACTGACTAGCTCCTTAGAGAGCTGGAAGTTTGCTTTCCTAAAATTCAGGGTCTGGACTTTACTCTTTGCCTGTCCCACATCCCTCAGGACTAGGAGCTCCACCAATGCATGATCACTGCAGCCCAGACTGCATCCAATCTTGACATCACTGATTAGCTCACTTGCGTTGGTGACCAGCAGGTCCAGTAACACATCCCCTCTGGTAAGGCTGTCTATTACCTGGCTTAAGAAGTTATCCTCCATGCACTCCAGAAGTCTCCTGGATTGCTGACAGCTCATCATGGTACTTGTCCAGCAGATGTCAGGGTGGTTGATGTCCCCCAGCAGAATGAGAGCCTGCACGATGCCTCCTGTAGCTGGAATAAGAAGGCTTTGTCAATAGGCTCCCCTTGATCCAGCAGCCTGTAGTAAACACCAGCCACAAGGTTTTGTTTGTTGCCTCAGTCTCTAATTCTTACCTGTAAGCTTTCAACCAGCTCGTGGCTATTATTCAGAGACAGCTGTTCACAATCTATCCATATCTTGACATAGAGGGCAACCCCTCCACCCCTCGTTCCTTACCTGTCCCTTCTGAACAGCTTGTAGCCATCGATAGCAGCACTCCAGTCATGGGATTCATCCCACCAAATTTCAGTAATGGCAACTAGGTCATAGCTTTCTAGCAGCATGGTAGCTTCCAACTCCTCCTGTTTGTTGCCTGTGCTGCATACATTGGTGTAGAGGCACTTCAGCTGGGCTGTTGGTCATGTCACCTTCTTAGAGAAACACACCTCGGTTCCTTTGACGTACTTCACCGGTGTTTCGCTGTTGGCTCCTATTACATTAGGAGCCCCTGGCTCATCTCTGTAAGACTTCAAGTGTGCTCCAGTGTACCTAGCACATCTCAGAGCAACAGGCTGACGGCCCTTGCTAGCACCCTGTCCATCAAACCTTGGCGTGTCATCCCATGGCTTGTCATGGGCGAGCCTGATGTTATCCCCTTCCCTCTTCAAGTCTAGTAGTCTCTTGAGGCACTTTGGTGGGATGCTGTGTTACCTGGAAAGCAGCAGGATGCCTGGAGAATTTCCTCTAAACACTTGTGAAGCACTGAGCATAGCCAATGCATTTTGGAATGACTGATACTTGGTTAGAACCTCATGACTAAACAAAGTAGGAGTCTGGTGAACACTAGCTAGCTCAACTAGAAGTTTTAGGGTTTAACACATGACTTGTTAGAAGATATTCTCTTGCTTACACTAGAAAGGAGTTCACCTTCGGATACTGTCTGATCCCCATTCAAATTCTTTTAGAGAGGATAACTAGGGTGACTAAAATGGAGTTTTTATTTTATATTACTTTTTTTTTTTAAATGGCTTCTTTAAACTATATGGGTAAATGTACATCCAACAAAGGTATGACTTTATAAATGCATTCAGTGGAAGATGGCAGGGAAGAAAAAGTTAAAGGATAACCATTTTACCTTGCAACAGTATTATAAACTGTTCACAGAATTACACTATTGTTAAGGCTGGAAGGGAACTTCTGACGTCATCTAGTTCAACCCCTGTGCTCAAGCAGGGTCAGCGAGTATTTGATATGTTGGTGTCTTCAAGTGGGATCGAGAGGACACTGGATTGTTTCTTTTGTGCACCAGAAGTATTTTATTAATGTGTACTTCTGCTCTTTCCTTAGTTGTTTGTAATAGCTGGGAAGTTGTTTTTTATGCATAATTAACTGTGTGAGTTTGTCTATGGGTTTTGAAAATACTGAGATTGGCCACAGCTAGAGAAGGGAATGGAGAGCAGATGGGTACATCTAAGAACGTTAAAAACTTACTGATGCATGTTTGATTTGTCCTGTTTCCAAGCTCACTGTCAAGTTTATCACTGGATTCAGGGTTAGGAGATACTCTAGTGAGTGACATCCACAGGAACCATTGGAGTTTTTGTTGGCCTCCGCTGTGCCATGAGACAATAGCTGTACCCTCGGAATAGCTGGAAGTTTTATTTACCATCATCCTAATATTGCTGCGTTCTAGGCAGTTTGACCAGCCAACCAAGTATAAAACCTTCCTCTTTTTCTGCCCGACTCTTCCATTTGTATCTGAAAATCTTCCTGGTTTGTGCATCCTCATTTAACATCTTGCTTCTTCACACCATATATTGAAATTTTCTGTTGTACACTACCTACAGAGAGGTTCTAAGAAACAGTTTCTCCCAGTTGCAGCCAATTCTTTGTCCCAGATTTTGTCTATCTGCATAGCCTAATGTTAAAGTTTACTACCTGATTGTCTCTGGTCTGGCAGGAAAAGTGATAGTACTTTGGTCAGCAAACTATGGGTTCTATACACAGTGGTCTTGTGATCACTTGGAGAGTGTTTTTCTTCCATGCATTTTTCTTCTGCATTGACAGGGCTGCACAGGCAGCTTCACTAGCATAATGGGATACCTGTATCATGTTAAAAAATGTGGGAAGGCTGCTTCAGAGCTGGAGAAAATGGCTATGAAGTGCCATCACTGTGGAAAAGCATACAAATCGAAGGCAGGACTTGTCTACCATCTCCGATCTAAGCATGGGCCGGTAAGTGCAAATTGCCATGGATAGTGTGGTGGTACTTCAGCCATTCAGACTTGACACACGCAGGCTTTTGTCTGCTACTTGGGTGGGTAATTAGGGATAGAAAATCTTTGCATTTTTCTGTCTCTCTGGAGTATTCTGTCCTTGATACTTTCCTTTCAGCAGTAGCTGTTGCTGTTCAGTGACTAGGATGAATTTTTTAATAGTAAATCACCATGGCAGCAGTAAACTTTCCCCAGCCTGACTTTTGCTCCATGGAAGAATGATACTAACCTGTATAACTTGTGAGATGCTTTTCTTTGCTCTTAAAAGACCCGACATTGGAGCAGAACAGGCAATACTATGCTCATTGTCCATGAGGGTTTTACAGCAGATGATGTGATATCCTTTCAAGACAAGTGGCTGCATGAAACTCTCTGCTTAAGCCTTACTGCTGTGACCCCCCTGAACAGATTTGGGGGTCTGTCTTCACTAGTGGGATGCACTTCTGTCCTATGTCTGTGACAGTGAACCACAGCTCCAGCAGCATTTTTGTGAGAGTTTTGGCAGAATATTTATTCACCATGTGTAGTGTAACTGAAATAGGAACTAGTGAAGGAGGCTCACCTTTTTTGGCCTTCATTGCAGGTCACTTTCCTCCATGAGGAGAGAAGAACAGAGAGCCTGAAGGAAATAAAACGGGAGCCAAACAACACAGGCAGAGTTCAGAGGAGATCTGCAAAGGTGGCAATCTACTATCTCCATGAGCTAGCTGGAGAAGAGCTGGCCAAAGAGTGGCCCAAGAGAAAAGTTCTGCAGGACTTGATTCCAGATGACCGGAAGGTACAAGGCCTTAAAAATGCGATATAGGGTTTGAGTCTTTCTTCACATCAGAAGAGTCTTGCACTGGCATCTACCCAGTGTTGCCAGTGTATAGTGGCCCCTGGGAAGCAATACTGAATAATCTTGTAGGAGGGATCAGGTTTTGCTCTCTGGTCTTAGATGATGGTATTGCTGCTGTAGGAATTGCTGTGGTATAAGTATTTTATCCAGGCAGACTATAATGACTTTCAAGTCCTATTGCTGTAATTTTCAGTGGGCACAAGTAACAAAGGCAGTTGGAGGCATTATGTTGCTCACAAGTCATAGGCTACAGATCACTGCTGCCATTCAGTGATATTTCATAGCTTTTCAGGCTTCGGAGTTTCCAGGAGTATCTGTTAGGCTGTAAGAGGAGCCCAAGGGAAAAGGATGATTTATTATTTTAATGGTGTAAGTACATTTAGAGGAATTGTTGCGGTCAAAGTTATGGGAAGTTTTGGATTCTGATATTGTGGGGGTTTTCCGGATTCAGTTGTTTGTAGAGAGTCAGTGAGATGGAAAAAGATTGGTTATTGAGAGTTTGGCTGTTAGAGTAGGAGAAGAAATAGCTTACAGCTTTCAGTTCCATCTCTTTATCTTAGCTGAAATATACTCGTCCTGGACTGCCCACATTTAGTCAAGACGTACTGTGCAAATGGAAAACGGAGATAAAGATGTACCGAAGAGTCCACTGCCCAAATCAGGTAAATCTTAAGTGTTTCTGAAGCCTCAAAGGGGGCAGATTTCAGGTCTGTATGAGCCAACAGCTTTTCCACAATCTTGAAACAGCAGTTTGTCTCTCTGTGGGACACAAATTCTGCTCCATCTCAGTATGGTTGGTTAGTGTAACCAAGACCCTGTTTGGACTGTTGCCCTAGGGATGATCCCTCTGGGGATGTATTTGTCCACTTCAGAGCCAGTAACTTGGTGTCAGAGCGGTAGAGTTTTCACATCCAGCTGGGAGCTTCTCCATTTGGAGGTCTGAGCAGTGGAAAAATGACAGGCCCCTGCCTGTCTACCAGATGTACTAAAACTAATTATAGAAGGGAGGAGTAGAGATGGAAATGTAAGAGCAGAGGGACTTTGTCTGGTACAGCACTTAAGTTTTCTTCCAAAAGCTGGAAATGGGCTACAGAAGACTCATGCATGGCACTGTCATCCTGGTCTAGGGATGCTTATGCATGTGCACTTAGCTTCTACAATCCCGCACAGCAGTCACCAGTCAGATCCAGTGAGAAGAAATGGCCCCACTGGTGGAAACGATGTGATGCACGTGACACACACTGCTGGATAGCCAAGGATCAGTGGTGGCTTCCATCTGGGTTTGGTGTAGAGACAATGCCTTCCCCCTGCCCTACCTCACGCCCACCACTCTCTCCCCAGTTTTCAGGCTTGCGTCATTTCCAAGTATAAGAATTGCAACTTAATGTATATGGACCTGTCCCCAGAAAGCAGCTGTCCTATTTCACCAACCAGTAACCCAGAAGCATGTCTTGCACCTACCTCCTGTTTCAGGGTCTGGGCTGTCGGCTGAGCATGATCTAGTATCCCAAGACTGATGTCTGAAGCTCCACATGGGGAAGACCTGTAAAGCTGCCCTTTAACAGACTGTTGATGTCAGATGCCGTACTTTTGCTCTGTGCCACTAGATACACAAGCAGGGCAGGAGAAATTTAAGTGTCTTGTACTTGCCCCTGTGCTTTGTTTGAAGTTAATCTCTGCTGCACTTTAGGCAAAAAGCAAACTCTATCATTTTACTCAGGCTTTTGGTGGAGGGTGAATGTAACTGTGACAGGAGTCTCTTTATTATGTGTAAATGTGCTCAGAAACTGGAAATATTTAACTTACTGAAAGCTTAAGTCTCTTTAACAGTCTTTTTACCAGAAGCTTTCTGGCTTTGTAGGACTCGGTATCTCCCTCCCTCTACCTCTCTTGCCCCTTTTGGAATTGTCTTCCAGAGAATAAGACTTTCTTGTGGAGGAAGAAGTGATTTCTTACTAGAGTTTTGCTGACACATATGTTTTTTACTCTTTCAGGGTTGTGAATCTGTATATGGCAGTGTCTCTGGACTCAAATCTCACCTCGGCACATGTACCTTGGTTGGTAGCCTTCCCGAACTCACTTTTAGACCAATAGCCTGACTGTCCCTGTCCTTCAGATATCTCCTTGTTCAAGCTGTTGTCCTGTCATCTGCTAATCTGAGTTCCTCACAGTTTGAGTGCTTCCCTATAGGCTAATAGGGTTGCCATTGCAAACACTGCTTGAGGCAAGGAGGAAGCATCTTAATGGCATGCATTTTAGTGAAACTGCAGTCCTACCTGTAGATTCACAGCTACAAGAGCATTTTTTCCAGGTACAGTGCTGGGGACCTTGTAACATCTCACAGAGCAGTCCTATGCTTTGTGGGCATAACCGGTCAATAATGTAAGTGCTCCTGTAGCTAAAGCATTGTCTGATATGAATAAGAGTTTCTACTTCTTACTGCTGGGTTATATGTGAGCAAGAATATGATGTATAGGTGTATCAGCCTTCTAGGCAGCAATTGGTGATGGATTTTTTTTGTTTTGGTGCCAGGGAGACTTTGTGGCTGGCAAATACAAGTGTCTCCTGTGTGAGAAGGAGTTCATTTCAGAGAGTGGGGTCAAGTATCACATCAACTCTGTGCATGCTGAGGTAAGGCAGGCAGAATGGAAGCCCTCAAACCCCAGGTTGTTGGAGGTGGGGAGGGTGTTGGAGGTGGGGAGGGTGTCTTGGGAAGGAAATGCTGGATTCTTGCCCTGGTTTATTTTTCCCTTGCTCACTGTGGGGAACAGGGTCCTAGACTCAAGTGCCCTTTGATTTGCTTTTGACCATAGCTGGTCTTACACGTTGGTCTGGGGAGCCAGTGTTGTGTCGTGTCACATGTCACATGTCTTGTCCCAAGCTGCTGCTGCTCTGTTCAGCTCTTCAGCATTTCCTATGCCTTTAGCTGGGCAATTGCCAAATCAAATCTGAGTTCTCTGAGACAGAGTGACACCTGGGAAGGAACATCAGAGAACAGAGCTTTGTTAGGCAGCTGCCTTTCCAGATCTCACATTTCAGGAAATCCTTGTCCCACAAGGCAGCTTTATTATAAGCCCTGGTAGGCTTTATATGGTATTTCCACCATCAGTACCAACCTGTTGCCTTCTAAACCCTCCAGGACTGGTTTGACGTGAACACAACTACCACCAAAAGCTTTGAGAAGCTAATGAAAATCCGCCAAAGAGAAGAGCAGAGGAAGCAACGGAAGAAACGTCCTTTGACCCGGGGCAAAAAGAAGAGAACTGGGACCCTGGCTGCCAAGAGGCTCCCCAGTGCTGGAGTTGAAAAAATGAGGAGAAGTAAGAGAGGTCGTCCACAGCGGGTGGACAATGAGAGCATGAGTAGTGAGGAGGGGGAGCCCCAAGTTGCACAGAGAGCCGAATTTCCAAAAACCAGCCGCAAGCGAGGCCGAAAGTAAATTCCTAGAAGAAGAGAAGAAGTAATCCTAAAGCCTTTCAGTTACAAGCCCCACTCCCATCAGGCTCATAACCCACAGCACTAATATAAGCAACTGAATGTCTTTGGGCCTGTGACTCCATTCTGCTCGGTGACCTTGATTTTGAAACTGTTTCCTCTGGTCAGTTGTGAGAGACTTCAAACCAAAGCTGTGGTACAGAGGCTGCCTCTCCTGGTGTAGTTCCCTTGGACAGTGGCACTAGCAGTGTACTCAGTGTAATTCCTGCTCTGGTTACAGTCTCAGTTTGGATCATATTAGTTGCTTGTTTAGTGGTTTCCAGTACAGCAGCTGTCTGTTTTATCATCTTCCACTGATGGGTGAGATCAGGGTTCTTTTTTAGCGGTTCTCCCTATAAGGGACTGACTAGCACAGTGTTTAGGTCTCTTTAAGGGGGGAATCCTTTCTTGCACAGTATGCATACAAACTAAGCAGTGCTGTGCAGCATACAAAGGCTTTAGCTTGCCCTGTAACTGTCCTGTCTGTTGTCAGCCAGGCTGCCACAGAAGAGCAAATACCTTCCTAGCATGTGCTCCAGTCTGTTGCACAAGGCATCGTCTCTACTTCATACACTGATGTTTAGGCTCAGCACCAGACCATAGCACATGAACTCTGGTCTGCTTGGAAGTGATGGGACATCATTACTACCCTCATCAGGAACCCAGTATTCCCCTGGCATCTGTCTTCTCTAGCACTGGGCATTGAATGTATGTAAAGGGTCTTTCAGTCCAGCGAGGAATAAATATCCTCCAGCCTTTCAGAGATTCACTGGCCTTTCAGACACCCCCAGTAACTAATGTAATAAGACGGCCTTCGTGGATACTCTGAAGACCGCTTGTTTCAGATTCACCGGGGAAACAAACTTACTGCAAGACAGTGCATATCTATGATAGCAGTCTTGCTAACGCTGAAACCCAGGTTCTGTTGAATTGCCTTGCCAGTGTGGTATTCTGTCATGCCCGTGCTCTCATAGTGTCCTTTTTTTCTGCACTGTAGAAGTCACCTTCGTTGTCATATATCACCTGTTTCTTTTCAATACTGCTTCCTTTGTGTGAATGAGGTACATTAGCCGTGGCTTCCATGTGTGGAAAAGGTTGAAAGAAGAGGGTTCATTATTCTAAGTAAGTCATGTATTGGCATGAACTCTAGATCATAGGGAATATCTTCCTGTGCTCTGTAAATGCAGCAGATGTCATAGAAGCTAGTAGGAAGCAGCAGCACAGGCAGTCCTACTCTGTCTTTCAGAGAATGGGTTCTCCAAAATTTCTGTTAGCTAAAGACCCACTGTACCAGGAAGTTTCAAAATTTGACCTTTTCCTTGCAGTTTTGCAGGCAAGAAAATAGGCAGCTGGCTCCCTGTTAATTTTCACTGACTACCAAAGTTGCTGGTGCTGAAATTCACAGGGAAGCCATTGCAGTGCCTGGTGAACAGGCAGGTTTATATGTATGTGTTATTACCAGAATAATCACATTGGCCCTGACAGTGGGAAGTGCTGTATGGCCAGGGTGTTCTCAAGAGCTGCCTCTCCCATATAATAAGCAAAGCAGACCCCAGCTGAGCATGGTGTGTCTCTCATGGGGATTAACACCTGTTCAGTAGTGAGACAGCATGCAGTGCTCCATTGTGATTTACACACAGTAGTTACAACTGCCTTTTAGAACCAGCTGTCACTGTGGTTGCAGTGCTGCACTGAAAGTATAGATATGTGGACTTCTGTGCAGGGTGTATAAGGTTTGCAGTAAGAGGGACAAGATCAGAAGATGACAAAATAAAATGTCACCAGTGCAAGAATGTGGTTTCTTGTCTGTTTGGTGTGTAGTGTTCTTGGTACCACCTCTACTTGCACAACACACCCCAGCCTGCCCACTTGGTTGTCCTGCATGCTCTGGTGCTGTTCAGTTGTCTGCACCATTTCTCCTCAGTATTCCACTGTACACAGCTGTACATTGACCACACCTGTTTACTACCTTCCCACCCGAGAGGTGGACAACATGGTAAGCCCATGAATTAAAGGAGGTTTTTCTTAGTGGATTTCAGTCCAGAGTCCTATTTACTGTCATTTATGAGTTACTAACGAGACCTACACATGGATACTTGGTGACCACTTGGGTTTTGTATAGTTACATCAACAGCATGTTCCCCCCCCATAACATGGCGTGTGGAAGAAAAATCATTATCCAACAGTCCATTCATGCTTGATCACTATTACAGCAGATTGTTCACTGGATTGGCTCAAGCTGGTAAGAGGTGGTGGCACTGCTGCACCAGCACATTCCACTGCTTTTGAAGAGTTACCAGTTCTGGAGCACCTGCATCCCGCTGTGGATGGACTACGGCAGACTACCTGATATGACTGTTGCTGTGCTCTACTGCTCTGAGGGCATGGGAAAGTTTAGCCTCAAGGAAGGTATTTTAATTGGGGAATTCGCATCATGTGTATCCAGGGCTATATAACATATAAAACCAGCTAATTGTAGTACAGCCTACTGTGCTAAGATTTACTGTTCAAGCACCCATGAGTTTACTGTTCAATCCATTGTTAAAGAGTTCAGTTAGGCTAACATTTTGCAAATCCAGGTCAAAATTCTACCCTATAGAATCATGGAATGGTTTGGGTTGGAAGGGACCTTTAAAGACCATCTAGTCCACCCTCCTTGCCACAGGAAGGGACATCTTTCACTAGGTCAGGTTGTTCAAAGCCCCATCTAACCTGACCTTGAACACTTCCAGTGATTGGGCATCCACAGCTTCTCTGGGCAGCCTACTCCAGTGTCTCGCCATCCTCATCATAAAAAATTTCTTCCTTATGTCCAGTCTAAACCTACCTTCTTTCAGTTTAAAACCATTGCCCCTTGCCCTGTCACTACAGGCCTTGGTAAAAATGTGTGTCCCCATCTTTCCTGTAAGCCCCCTTTAAGTATTGAAAGGCTGCAATAAGGTCTCCCTGAAGCCTTCCTTGTCCAGGCTGGACCATCCCAACTCTCTCAGCCTGTCTTCATAGGAGAGGCATTCCAGCCTGCTGTTTTCGTGGCCCTCCTCTGGACCCACTGGAACAGGTCTATGTCTGTCTTGTACCATGGGCTTAGAGCTGGATGCAGTGCTCCAGGCAGGATCTCACCAGAGCGGAGTAGAGGAGAAGAATCGCTTCCCTCAACCTGCTGGCCACACTTCTTTTGATGCTGCCCAGGATACAGTTGGTTTTCTGGGCTGCGAGCACATGTTGCTGTCTCATGTCCAATTTTTTGGTATCCCCAATTCATCTGCAGGGCTGCTCTCAATCCATCCATCGCCCAGGCTGTATTGGTATTGGGTATTGCTCCGACTCATGTGCAGGACCTTGCACTTGGCTTTGTTGAGCTTCATGAGGTTCACATGCGCCCACTCCTCAAGCCTGTCAAGGTCCCTCAGGATGGCATCCCTTCTTTGAAGTGAAACAGCTGCACCACACAGCTTGGTGTCATCGGCATACCTGCACTCAATCCCCTGTCTACATCATTGATGAAGACATTAAATAGTATTGGTGCCAACACAGACCCCTGAGGGACACCACTTATTGCCCTAGCAAACTTCACTGTGCTCTTATAAATTCTATTTGAGCGAGTACATATTTAGAAAGAGATCCAGTTTTGAGGTGGGGGAAGTGATAAGAGAGACTAGCTAGTCTCTCAATACTTGTTCCAGTGATAAATTACACTAAAAATTATGTGTCTTCTCATTTGAACTTTTTTTAATTTCAGCTTCTGCATCTCATATTGCTCAGTCCTGGTAACTTAGCCTTATAGTATCAGAAATTTCTTCCTGCATATTTGTAGTCATAATTATCACCATACATAATTTGCTGTATGAGCTAAAGAGACTTGCTAGTCTCAGTCAAAACAGTTTTTTCTTTTTTGTGATTGTTGTTCTTTGCTGACATTTTTTACATTGATGGGTGTGTTTTTGGCTTTTTGAGTCCAAAGATGTGAACCAGGAACCAATTGCGGTATTCTGTAATAGTCTGTTTTATATAGAACACAATGATAAAGTTGCTGTGCTTTTAGCTACCCCTTTTTTTCTTCATCAACTGCTTGATTACACTGTTCACATTCAGCCTGCGATTTATGCTCCTAAGCACATTTTTCAAATGTTCTGAAAATGCATCTGAGGGCCCATTTCATTTGTTTCTAGAAATTCAAATTAACAGGGTTTAAGGCCAGACAGCACATGATGAACTCATCTGCCCTTTCTAAAACATTATGATATGTTTCAGAGAATTACTCTAGCAGAGACCTTAATAACTGTATTTTTTGTTGAGCAACTTTTCCAGAAAATTGTTGTATAATCAGTCTTTTCATAGCTTTTGTTTGTCATCAGCTTTTTTAATCTGCAGATTTTCTTTGCAATTGTTTTATAATTTCATTAATGTTCTTGAGAAAGGTGCCAAATAGCTGCAGACTTTGGGATTCTCTAGGACAAATCCTTATTTACAATTATTTACTAACTAGCATTTAATGTGCTTCACTAGTATTTGTATAACATGTGGGGCCAAGAACAATGCCTTACAGAAATTTATGATGTCAGTGACTACTTTTACCAACCCAGACTTGTAATTAATTTTTAAAAAGTGTTTACAGAAAACTGTTCTCTCTGAAACCATGTTGGTTAGTTTTACTTGTGATATCCTTTAATGTCAACTGTTCTGTTGGTTTGCCTGGGAGATTTCAGACTGATAAGTTGTGCTTACACTGACCACACAGCTTGTCATTTTTTAAATACTGGCACAACACTCGAGTTTTGTTTCTTTTTTTTTCTGGAAGAGGAGGGAGAATATCTTGTTGGTTTTGGGGTTGGGTTTTTTTTTTCTTTTCTTAATCCTCAAGGATTTCACCATTGTTCCAAGAATTGTTAAAAGCCATTAATAATAATTCAGAGAACTTTCCAGGAGATTACTTACCATCCTTCCCTGCAAGTTATCCAATGCTGTAGCTTCAGAGATGTTTAAGCTCTTTTAATGATGCCAGAATGTCCAAAAAATTGAGGTGTTTTGTCAAGGTTTGCAGGAACTGTGAAACGGGGGATGCACCTCATGCAGGGGCAACAGCAGCAGTTTGTCGTTCCTGCCTGCATGAAACAGACCTACTGCTGTGTGTGGCACATGGGGGTGAAATCATTGCAGCATACATCATACACTTAGCGATATAGCTGTATTGGTATGGATTACCTCTGACTTGTTTTTTTAAAATCTCCATTGGTGAGGATGCCACATCTTTGCCAGGCAAGCTCTTCTGCTGCTTCATTTTCCTTGCGGTAGTATTACCTGTAACTTGGATGTTTCACTGTGCAGCTGCAGTGCGTTTGAGAGCAGAGCCAGTGCCTAGGACCCGCGCTTGGAGCAATTTGGTCCTCAGCGCTTGCTCAGTGACCTGTATGACGGGTGTACAGCTGGAGGGTTCATGTCGTTCTGGGATGTTGCTTGACTGTGATGCTAGTAATGAAACCAACACGAAGCATGACATTATTTCTCAAAGTGTTGCTTGACTCTGAAAGCCAGCTGTCTTCAAAATTAAGTAGGTCAGTTTCATAATTAAAATACAGCAGGATTAACAGTGAGATTGGGGGGGAGGGCGTGGCAGTTATATTGGGCAGCTCCACTGAGACATTAATTAGTGCAGTGTCCCTTTTTATGCATGTTGTATCAGGTCCAAAAATCCATCTGAATTATGCTCAAAAGTCTTCTAAATCGGAGGCATTTGTTTTTAAAAAGTGCAATCGCACCTCAGAAGCAAGCCTCTTTGCCTTTCTTCAGAAGCAGGTAACAAAAGCCAGTTATTCAAATAAAGCCTTTATTTAAACATAGACTAACCATAAACAGAGAAACAATCCTAGTGATTGCTGGGTGAGACAGAACCAAGTAAAAGGTTGGGAAAATCACAGCCAATGTTGTCAGCTTTCTCTCCAGCTCTTGCTCCTCATGATCAGGGAGGGCTCTTGGCCCTTTGCATGCTGCAGCACATGCTGGTCCCTGTATGTGCTGCAGGGGACAGAAAGGCCTGTACTTAACCTGCCCTTGGATGGCCCCACTCTTTCTGGGCCAGCCACAGCCCAGCCTGCTGACCTGGGCATTACACACAGGCAGTCAATGCTCCCTGCTGCCCCGGACAAGGACAGATTGTAAATGATGTGCCATTTTTGTGGACAGCTACTTCACCTCAAGGAAACCAGAGACCAGTCCGTGTGGCAATTAGGGTTACAGTAAAGAGGAGGACTAATGTGCAAAGGAACGATGTTGAGTATGAGGGAGGCACCACGACATCTGTGAAAGGGAGACAGACTTCATACATCTGTTTTAAGTATTTTGAAAACAGGTAAACCTCAAAAGAAGCCTTTTCCACATATCTTCAACTATTTCTTGGTGAATTTGCTATTTGCATGTCCAAAGGATTTTTACAAGGTCCCTCACCCAGACATCTTTAAAAAGTGAGACTGTCATGCATTAAACAGGATGTTGGAGGTTAGAGGAAGCATTTGGAGGAGACATTTGGCATTTTCAAGGGTGTGATGCCACTGGGGGATTCCACATTAACACTGGGCTGTTCAAAATTTTCCCCCATGATCTAGGAAGTAAGTGGGCAGGGACTAAGACCAGCTTTGAGGATTACACAGAGCAGTAAAAATTGAAAGGTAATCACAAAGAAATGCTGAAGCATCTTAGAATACTAAGTGGTTGGGAGATGGAACAGCAGATAAAATTCAGTATTATAAAATGAAAGGCACCCAGTAACCTCTGTACATTGCCCTTGCAGCCCTCAGACTCCTTCAAAGATAGTTTGAATTTCACCTGCTGAAAAGATTGCTGCATTTAAAATAGGGATATCCTGAAAGCCTAGAGGAATACTTCACAACTTCTTACTGCTTAAGTGAGCTGTATGTTGATGCTCTTTCCTCTTCAAAGCATCTTGCCAGTGCTACATCAAGTACAATCTTCCAGGATAGACTCCAACCACCCTCAGTTATTTAACACTGGATATT